TGTGTGTGTGTGTGTGTGTGTGTGTGTGTGTATGCGTGTAGGGGAAGGCACTTCCCTGGGAAAGAAAAGTAAACATTTTCTCTGTCAAAGATAATAAGCTGATATCTCAAACCAACCCATAAAGGGCAAAACCCCAACACTCTGGGGATTTGGGAGTACATATCACCACCCCACCACTCCCAGTCTTCTCCAGAGAGAAGGGTCTCCTACTCGTCCCCAGGGGACATTTCGGTTGCTTCAGAAAAGTTGGGGTGGGTCTTTAGGGAGAGAGGAGGGGCTCAGGAAGAGGAAGGAAGAGGGGCCCTGAAGGGGTAGACTCTAGGGCCAGTTGGCTAGGCCCCAGACTTAAAAAGACTCACTATTGTTTTTGCTCCCTAGAGAGACACCTGCAGCAACTCCATTTGTGAACAATTGTTTCAGAAACAGGAGAAAGGGGACTTTCACAGCTCATTCTAGGCTTTAGCATCAAAATACTTGTGAAGTTCAGCAACTGTTTTTGTTTTGACCAAAAACCCTAAGGGTTTCCCCTCCCAGATTGATTTTTTTTTTTAACTAGGTAAAGAGGCCATTCTCTGCCTCATTTTTTACCTGTTATTCACTGAATGGGTGTTGTCTAAGTCATACTGAGACATGTTAAAGACCTTAGCTTAAAAAGGCCAGGGTCTCCTACTGCGTTCTGGTCCACCTTCAGTTGTCCTGATCTATATCTGGCCACTAGACCCAGGTGGTTCCAGAGAGAGAGTGAGGCTGGTGACTTTGCACAGCCCTCCCTCAGTTAAATCTAATTCACTTGCAAGTCATGGCATCACCTCCCTGATGCCACAGTCTTCTTTGAGAACGAGGGAAAACAAAAACAACAACACGTGAAGTCACTGCATCCTCGCTCAAGGGCAGATGGACTAGGCAAATATCCCAATAGCATAGTTATTTCTTCTTTCCCTTCTCTGTCCCTTGAACTTCCCCAGGTAAACTCGGCTCATTAAATAAAACCCCACTAAAATATACATTTTATTCCTGTCTGACAGGACTGTATGGCCTGTCTGGCAACAAGGGATAGTACTATCTGAAGCTACATATGGTATGAAAGTAGAAAATAATTTAGATTATAAAAAATCAGGAACTTCTAAAGTCTCTACTTGGCACAGGGTCCTCAGGAGGGCACTCGAATGCTTCACGAATGACTATCGGCCACTATCAGAAGCCATTGGGTTTCCTTTGGGTTCTCCCAAAAGGAGCTCCCGAGGTTTGTATATCTGCAGGGCTAGGCCTTGGCTGGGTGGCAGGGAGCCATGACCTGCCATCCAAAGAGAACCTAGGTCACTGACTCCTTAAATGAAGCTGCCAAGCAGCGCAGGGACTGGACCTCTGGAGGGTTTAAACGGTCCAGCTCAGAGTCCCACATATCTCATGTTTTAGACTTGCCCTCTCCTGACTATAGTTCACTCATTTCAGATAATTACATGGTTTAAGGAGGGAGGGGATGGTGGACATATACCAAAGAGAAGGTTTTGGGGGTACCAGCAGCAGCAGTTTTACACAGGCAACTTCAAAAGGAACAAAAAATAACCTTTCCATTGGGTTTAGAAGAGCCATACTCTGCAGGCTTTCCCTCAGCCTTAAGGGGTGTGGAATTGTTTTGTAGCATAATCTTCACGTTTTGACTCTGCCACTAGGGTTTCTATCCACATTCTGGGCTGGGAGCCAGAACTGGGTTCTAATGTCTGCTCTTGGGGGAATTGCTTCCTTAGGCCTCTGTTTCCTCAACTGTCAAAAATGAGAGGGTTGTACTATATGATTTCTGAGGTCCTCTTCTAAATCTGACATTTGAGGATTCTCTAATCCTTCTGGCTCCTTTCCAATTTCATCGATCTTTCTCCTTCTAGCCCATCTGGATCTTGCCCTCCCCTTCCTCACCGTCTCATACATGACTGCTCCCTCCTGCCCTTCTCTGGACCCTTGGAGTCTCTGTGTTAACAATGATTCCCAGGCTATAGCTGCCAGACGCCAGTCACCTTCCCAGAACTGCTAGTGTTTCAAAACTAGATTTATTTGTTTTGAAAAATGTGCCATATGGCGTCTTTTGGGGGAGGAGGGGTGGCACGGAGATTGCATTCTGGAAAGGCTGGAGATGAAATCAAAAAAGCAGGTGTCAAACCTCTACAAAAGGGAGAAATTACAACTTTGGAAGAGGAACTCCAGTCACATGGAAGCCCAGGCTTCTCAAAGGTGGATGGACATGTCATGGACTCGTAGAAAGTCCGAGCTGGGTGTGACCTTGGGACCTTCATCTCACAGATTGGGCCCTAAGACCCCAAGAGGGAAAGGGGCCTGCCCAGGGTCATGAAGCATGTTGGTGGCAGAATCGGAATTGGAATCCAGATCTCCCAATAGCCCAGGGCTCTTTCCACCACACCACATGCCCTTCATTAATATCTCTCTTCCTGAGAATTATAAGGTTCCCATCAGCTCAGAAATGCCATGATTCTATGATCTACTGTTATTTAGAAATTAAAAGAACCATGATTTAGCCCCCTCCCCCACCTAAAACTGATATCCTGCTGCCCAGAGGGCACAGCCTGGCAGCCTAGCAGAGGCACACACTCTTAACCGAAGCAAAGACTCATTGATTATCTTTCGAGGATACCCCCACTCTTCCTTCTTTGACTAGCCGTCTCGCTGCATTGCTTCAATCTGTCTTTCACTTGTCGTGATACTTGCCGGCTCTGTCCCCCAGGGAGCCTCCTGGAATTCTCAGCAGCTCCCACTGACCTCAGCTAACCCAAACCTCACTCCCCAGATCAGCCCCGTCCCAAAAGAGCCCAAAGCACTGTGAACCAAGGCAAGAGAAAAAAGTGCCTTGCAAGGAACATCGGACTGTGGCTCCCAAAACAGAGAGAGATGAAGAGGTGGATGAATGGGTTTAACCAAAGGAGAAAATTAAAAAGTTGGCAGCGATGAGTGAAATGTTTAATTTAAATCAGATTAAATAAAATGAGCTGGATACCACAATTACAGTGATCACTATACAAAATTCACTAAGGACGAGATGTGAGACCCATCTACAGATGGGACTCAGCTACTTACTCATTTGCAAAATCAATGATTATAGAATAAGTTATATTTCTAGTAAATAAAATCACACAATGCTTTAAACATGGCTTGGAAGTCAAAACCAAAAAATAAAAATAAAAACAAACCACCCAAAATGAGCACAACCTTGGCGAGAGAAGCTTGCTGTTCTTTTGAAAACTCTTTGTTCAAATCCTTGAATGGCTATCAAGAGATCAGCGACTGACACAAATGTGTTTAGGAAAAGTCCCCCCACTGAAGGCTGTGGGGTTCAGGGCTGCCCCTGCCCCCGAGATTCTGCCACTAAGCTTCCCTGGCTGCCTTACACTCTTCTCTCCAGCTGGTTTCAAAGTTCATGACCTCAGGGGACATTCCAGAGTATGCTCCCTCATCTATATTGGGAGGTTTACTAGCCACAAACTCCACAGACATCCTGTTTTCAAAAACCTTAAATAAGAGGGTTTCCAATAGGAAATTGTCAACATGTACACACATACATACACACATACACACACACGCATACAAACACACACACACACATGCACACTTCTCCAAGTGTGGGAGAATGTTTGCTCAGAAGCATACTAAGTCTAACAGACCAAGAACTCAGACTTTGCCCAAATCAGACATATGACTTCAGTAGGATGAGCAGAGCAGGGGAAGAGGTCTGTCTCCTGGGGGAGTAATGTGGATAAACCAGACCCGACAGGTTCTGCAAGGCAGCTGAATACTGGAACTGCCTGGGAGTGCCTGGCAGCACAAAGCCTCGGGGACTTTTCATCTGCTGGTCACCGAGGACCCTTCTCGAGACTTCTTACTCGACTCAGCCACAAACCTCCCATCCCCTCCTTGTTGTTCCCTGGTCAAAGGGAGCCAAGGATTTTTGAAAGGGATTCAAACTGCATCCCCATCTTCAGTATATTCATGTTTTCCAAAGATTCAGCAGCTCTGGAAGTAATAACTAAACATTCAGATACTGTTTTAAATTTCACAAAGCACTTCACATACATGATCTCATTTGAGCTTCACAAACAGCCCTGGGAGGTAGGTACTACAGGTATTATCCCCATTTTATAGCGGAGACTGTGGCCCAAGGTCACTCAGCTAGCTAGTAAATGTCAGAGGCAGGATTTGAACCCAGGTCTCGCTGAGAGCAAATCCATCATGCCATCTACTAAGCCATATTGCCGCCAAAGGAAGAGAAAGGAGTAGAAATTGCTCATGGCCTTAAAAAAATCTTGCCCTTTTCCTTCATTAAGAAAATGAATTTCATTTAAAAAAAGAATCTATGGCTGGGAAATGCTGATAGGATGGCTCTTATTGAGTCCAATTGCAGCATCTTTGACGTGTACATAGTAAAATCACATTCATTTTAAAAACAAAAAGGTTTGCAAAAGAAGTGGAGGGATTCCTGAGCAGAGTTTGGGGAGATGCTTAAGCTACTTATTGGCAATTAAGCTGTCTTCAGGACGCAGCTCAGCGATGCCTGTTCTCATTTTTGCTCATAGGGACTCTGCCCCCTATTGCACAACACAGTTTCTGGCTACTTTTTGTGGGCTGGGGGCTTGCCTGCTGCTAACTTCTTCAGCTTTGGCAGGAAGGCCCAATGCCTGGCTCCCTCTTGGTCCTCCATGCCTGCCTCCCCCACTAGGGCCCGCAATGCTCTCACTGCCATGTTCTCACATGAAGGGCCAAAGGTCAAAGTTCTGTTGGAGGGTCTTTCCCCTGTCTCATGGCACCCCCTCCCCCAAACCCCATTCTAGGCCTCAACACTCCTGGGTTAGATCTAAGAAAGAGGGGAAGGCTGCACGCACACTTTTAGTGCTGCCTGGAAATCCCCTTTGGAAATGTTCATCTAATGAACTCGTCACCAGTTCTTAAAATAGAGTCCCTACCAGGGAGCCCTCCCCTTGAGAGGGGCAGTACAGAAAAGATAATACAGCCTAATGAGTTACTCTAAAGGTTACTGAGTTGCATCCACCCCTAGTACCAGGAGGGCAGACAAACCAATCACAAATGGCAGACAGTGGCTGCTCGGATATTTTTTCAGCTCAATGAATTGTTGTGTTGTGTGTGTGTGTGTGTGTGTGTGTGTTTAAGAATGAAAAATAATACCATCAAAGCAAAATATCCCACCCACACACACACAAACCAAACAATCTTTTTCTCCCAAGCAACACAAAGCTCTGGGCTAGGGTGGGAAAATTGGCAAGGAGGGTGTGCAGCTGGGAATGGGGCACCTCCCTCCATGCTCTAGACAGCAAGAAAAATGGATCTCTGTGGGGCTCCCTAGGATACCCAGAACAACGGTGAGTCTCATAGATCCACATTTCTGGGCTGAACCTTTGGAGCTGATGGAAAGAAACTGAATCCCAACCTAAAACCAGAAAACAACTTTGCTGTATCATGTTTGACTTTTAACCAAGAAGGATTATAAATTAATCAGTGTCCCAAACTAGTGCCAGCCTTAAAATGAAAGCCATCCCACCTCAGCCTTTTTAGGTTTGCCTGTTTTCTATTACTGTATACAAAGACCTAACCAAAGTCCCTTACCCAATCTTTTAGATTAAGGACTAACCAGACACCATGGGGAAGGAGGAGGTTATCATCCAGTTTCCCTTGAACCAAACACTCCAGTTCCAGATGTCAATCCTGAACATCTGGACCTCAGCATGTAGTCGAGTCTGTTGATATCACTTGACCAATGGACAGACTCCGCAGAAAGTCTGGCCACTTCAGGAAACAAAGTAAATGGTTGCAGCTGGTTTTCAAAAAAGAAAATGAAAGGAAAGGAGAAAGAGAAACCTTTGCCCCCTCCCTCGAATCAACTTCGCTGGTGCAAGGTAAGAGGAGGGGAATGCACCAGAGAAATTGAGCAAAGCCAAGTACGTGTGCTCGAGTCTTTAGGGCCTGTGCTGGACAGCAGGGCGGAATGGCGTACCTAGAGTCCTGAGCAGGAGGGGACCGCTCCCAAGCATGACCACGACAATCCACCCATCCCGTCCTGCTCAGTGTTGGTGCCCATAGTTGATTTGGTCTTCAGACTGCTCCAACACGTCCAGCATTTCTTCGATGATGGCTTGTAGGGCCCGGCCCAACTGGTCTGCGTTATAGGGTTTTCCTAGCGGAGGGACATGCACAAATGCAGATCTGCCATGGCTCTGGTATAAGGAGGTGTAGTAAGTAAAATCACAGAGGTACCTAAGGTTTGGTGAGAAGAAAGGAGGGAAAAAAAGGAGAAATACACCAGAAGATGTTTAGTGACCAGAAATTAAAATTGAATGTAATGAGGAGTCAAATAACCTAAGTCAAATGGATGACTCAGGATGGATGAGCCACTCGGGGGGGGGCGGTTTAGATGGGCAAAAGGGAGGCATTTCCCCACTGGGATGGTATCAAGGTGGTGCATGTATACGTTACAGTCACGGAGATTTTTAAACATGTCTATGGACCCCGTGGACCTCCCCTCAATTTTACATAGGCCTCAAATGGAGGTTAATTACTCTGGTCTGCACACCTTTAGACTCAAGTCTTAGTTTGGTGTTTGAAAAAGTCTGTAGAAGAGAAGACTTTGAAATTATTTCTATTTCAAATATTGTACAGGCTTTTCAGTAGGAAGGGAAAGAGAAGGGAATAGTGCCTATTATGTGCCAGGAAATATTATATCACTTGATGTTCACAACAATCCTAGGAAGTAGGTACTGATACTAATAGGTGGGGATACTGATATCTCCATTTTGCTACTACTATTACTACTACTACTACTACTACTACTACTACTTAACATTTATATCACACTTACCATGTGCTAAGCACTGTGCTAAGCTTTACAAATACTGTCTCATTTGATTGAGCTTTACAAATATCATCTCATTTGATCCTTACAACAAACCTGGGAAGTAGGTGTTGTTATTATCCCCATCTTATAGATGAGGCAAATGGAGGTAAAGTGGCTTGCCCAGGGTTACAAAGCTAGGAAGTGTCTAAGGCTGGATTTGAAGTCAGGTCTTCCTGACTCCAGGCCCAGTGCTCTATCCACTGAGCCACTGGCTGCAGTGGGAGGAGAGAAATAAGATTTATTCTAATTGGCCCTAGATGGCCAAACTAGAAATAATGAATGGGAGCTGCAGGGAATTGAATTTTGCCTCCTGATACAGAAGTTCCCACTATGGAACTTCCCATAATGGAATGGGCTGCTTCAACAGGTAACAAATTCTCTGTGACTAGATGTCTTTAGAGAGGCTATGTGACTGCTTATTAGCAATGTGGACAAGAGTCAGGGCAGACTACATAGGTCTCAGGCCCTTTCTAAATCTGAGTCTGTGATTCTACAAAAAAGGGGATGGGCTGCTCTTAGAGGAGAAGATCAGCCCTAGGACATCAGATGACTCCAAGTTGCCCCTAATAAAAATTGTAAGATTATATGATTTATGATACATGATCATAAAGGCATCTAGTCAAAACCCTTCATTCTATAGGTGAGGAAAGTAAATGGAAGGCTGGGGCAGGCTGTGCCCCACGAGCTCTGTGCCTACCTGCCAGCATCCTGGGATATGGTCACTGTGACATCTAGGCCCAGGGTGGTCACTCTCTTGCAGACGGCGTCCATGTCGATGATGGAGTCGATGGATTCCGGCCCATTCTCTACGCAGCAGTGGGAGCCAGGACAGAAAAGGCAGTTGTCCAGCCCTTTGTATCCACTGTTATGGCCACACTTTTCCAAGGTAACTGTGGTTGCCATGCCAGACACCCCTACATGGACGACCAGCTGCAGAGGAATGATGCACTTAACAGTAAAAGGAACTAGATAGAGTTAGATAGATTTTTCACTCTTTGTTTCAGTCTGAACTTGAGGAATGGTTGGAGTCAGTAGTAGGGCTGGGGTAAGTGTGAAATATTCATGGGACCTAGCATCCAGCTGTGTGACCTTGCCTTGCTAAGTGGAAGAGGCCATAAGATGCATCATGGAAGTAGAGTTTTTTAGGAGGTCAGGCAGGGTCTTTCACCTAAGATAACATTGTAATAACTAGCAAAGCCTGGCCCAGTGCTGAGATCCATGAGAAAGGGAGTAGTTAGTCCAAAAAGCCAAACTATGCCAGCCTCTATGATTTGTTTTGAGATAGCTTAAGATTTCAGGACTCCATAACTTAGCTTGCTGTCCTTTCTAAATTGTCTGGTAAGTTCTGGCTAAAATATTACTAGTAGAATTACAAATGGATACCATCTTTTTGGAGAATAATTTGGCAGCATGCAAGAGTTATAAAAATAATCATACTCTTTGGGCTATTTTTGGGACTATACTATAAGAACAACATTGAAAACAAAAGCATCAACCACTCGACAACAGATGGTTCAGAAAACAGCAAAACAAATTTAGTCCAAGTGAGAAAGAGGTTAAGAAAAAAAAAACTTGGGATATGTTAAAGTAACAGAGCATCATGATACAATGAAGAGTAACAGTCATGAGGAATATAAAGAAATATGAGAAGTCATGAAATAACAGATGAAGGAAGCCAAACCAGAGATACACAGGCTGCAACTGTATACAAAGAAACAGGCAAGGACTGAGTGAAAATGCAGAGACAAAGGAGGGGGACACGCACAGGGGTCTGCCAAGGGGGCACTGAACTCTGACACGGCTCGGCTGGCTCAGGCAGAGTATTTCAGGCCTTCATCAAGAGTTTGACCTCCTGCTAATACGCCACATCTATTGGGGACCAATTACGGATTCACATTCAGAATGCTTAATCATGACTGGAAGAAGACATAATTCTTGGTTTCAGTGTAAATCCCAGCAGATACTTTTTACTGTTACTCCTGGAAGTAGCGATCTTAACCTAATACATCTTACAACAATACTTCACCCCCTTCATCATGACACAGTAAATGGTCTGTGGGAGAGGCTGTGGCTGAAAAATTCATTACCTGCTTCACCTAGTGATAAGCCCTCCTCAATTTAGGTAGTCTAGTCCTCAGATGACAGACACAGTTCACTGTACACAAAGCTGTTCCCGCTAAAGCTTAAGTTCCCCTGGTACAGCCTTTGAGAACTCCTCAGTGGTGGGAAGAAATCAGTGGTACCCATGCCAGGCAAAGGGATTACTAAATTTGGACTTTTCAGGCCTTGCTTGGGTAGGAGAAGGTATATTTTGGGGACACCTTCCAGCACTCCTTAAGTCTTACCACACAAACAATTCCACCAGCCTGAAGTCTAAGATTGGAATGTGCTGGTAAGGCACATGACTGTGAATCCAAGAAGAGGTGTGTGCCTTCAGTGCAGATGCTGAGAGATGGAATGTGCCCCAGGTCTATCCATACTACAATGGCATGTAGAATCACTTTTGGATTCCCAGCTATTGCAATGACATTGTAAAATCTGGGCCCTGGGGAGGGGTTAGGATTGAATATTGAGGAGTCAATTACAATTTGGGGAAGGCTCTGTCTAGTATCTGGGGAGGGGGGAGTACGGGGAGGTGGGGAGAAGGGACTAGTTTCCTCACTCACTTGAGGACTGTGTTTTTCCCACAGGGCAGGTATAAGCCTCTGGACTGTTTGGTATTCCACAGGAATTTCGTACACATGAAGGTCCACGCTGTCTCCCAGTCCCAGCTTTTCCAGCTCCTGAAAAGGAATGGAGATAGTTAAAACTAGACTCACCTTTCCTACAAAGAAGAAGAATCTGGGGCTGGGAGGGAAAAGACAATATTAGATATGTTCCAAACACTACAGAAATGGTACCTTATTCCCAGAATATTTCAGAAATTTCAGAAACAAAGCCACTGATAACACTGGACAAATTTTTTTTGGGGGGGACGGGGATGGGGCAGGGGAAAAGGAAAACAAACACTAGCCTTGGGCTGGTCTAGACTAGACTGCTGCTGAGGTCCCTTCCAGATCTGAATTCTGGGATTTGCCAATATCCTAATCAATCTTTTTGGGCAATGTGAGTCATACTGCACACGTGGGTAGAGAAGTAAGAGGGTCAGAGCGATCTGCATCAGCTCAGGGAAGACATAACCACTGTCTTTGAACACCTCCTGGACTGTCAGAAAGGGGCGCAGGTTTGTTTTGCTTGGCCTAGAAGAGTAGACTGAGGTTCAGTGTGTGAAAAGTACAGGGCGGCTCAATGTGAGGAACTCCTGTTCTTCCTTCTCACTTCCTGACTTTTGTCAAGGACGCCACCATTCCCCATCAGCCAGCTTTCCTGGCCTGCCTAGGCCCCCTCCCTGCCTGCTGCCAATCAATCAGCTGGCGGTCCATTCTCCCCGCTGCAGCTCTTGCACCCAGCCCTGTCCTTCCATCACATAAAGCCGCCACCCTCGTTTCAGGATCTTATCACTTCCTGCCTAAACTATTTCTGACTTCACCATTCTCCACACAGCTTCCAAGCTGATATTCCTAAAACTCTGCTCTGAGCATGCCACATCCCTTAAGAAACTCCAGCAGTTTCCTATCACCTCTAAGATAAAATACAAACCAAGGGTGTCTAAAGCCCTTAGCAGCTGGGCTCTTGCTACCAATCCCAAGCCTATTTCCACATTTTCTTCTCCTCACTTCTGGTCATTCTTCATATATAACATTCTTCATATATAACATTCTGACTCTAGCCTCCACACCTTTGCACAGGCTGTATCCCATGGCTAGAATACACCCCAGCTTCCTTCCTGCTCAGTTCAAACTTCATCTCCAGTATGAGGCCTCCCGTCTCCCCAGCTTTTACTTCCCCTTCCAGGAGTTACTTTTAATATATTTATCTTTACTTGTCTGTGAGCATGTTGTTTCTCTTCAAGTAGGACATAAGTTTCTGTTTTCATTTTTATCTTTTTATCCTCAACACCTGGTACAGAACATGGAGCACAGTAGGTGCTTCATATGTGCTCATGGATGGGTTTGTGCTGGTTAAACTTGATGTTCTCAGTACCCTCCATTCCATCTTTCAGCTTTGGGCCTTTTCCCCATTTTGGGAATTCTCTCTCTCTCTGTACTTTCTCCTTTCTCTCTTTTTTCTTTCTTTCTTTCTCTCTTTTCCTTCTCTCTCTCTCTTTCTTTCCTTCTTTCAAAGAAAAAATTAAGCATGTGCTAAAACTTTGCATGAAGTGCCAGGTACAAATAGAAAATTCAGATAGTCCTTGCTCTCAAAGAACTCACATTTATGAGGGCATACAACACAATGGGTAGTTTGTAGATGTATTTCAGTTGTAGAAGTCCCACAGTTCCCTCATCCCCAAAAGAAAGCAGCTCTACTCGTCTGTGCACACGCTGTATCTCCCAGCTGCAATACAAACTCCTTAAGGGTAGCAGCTATTTCTTTCTTTCTTTTTTCCGAGGTGGAGAGTCTTTTTAAAAATCTCCATTATGCCTTGCTAATAAAGTTTTTTTTAATTAATAAAGTTTTAAAAATAATTTTAAAAATTTTAAAAAGCATTTTTTAAAAATTGATTCTTACATTGCCTAAAATTTTCTCCATATCCTTCTATTCCCTCCTATCAGAAAGTGACCTCTTATAACAAATAATTTTTTTTTTCAAAAGAGGAAAAAGTCCCCAGTAAAACCAATCAGCAGACTGAAGAAATGTGCCTTTCTCAGTGACTTTCCCACTGTCGGACCCTCGCCTCTACAGAGTGGTAGGAGGAAGTGTCTTCTCATATCTCTCTTTTGGGGCCAAGTTTGCTCTTTGTAATTTTGCCACACTGAGTTTCAATTGCTTTGTGGCTGTTCTCCTTTCTTATTTACACTGTTACATATACACAGTGTATGTTGTTTTGCAGCTCTGCTCACTTTACTCTGCATGGTTGGACTCCTCCTTCCTTGTTCATCACGTTTGTGATTTCTTGAGGCACAGTAGGAGTCCATTATGTTCACTTGCCATAATTAGTTTAGCCATCCCCAATCCATGGTATTTACTTTGTTTCCAGTTCTTTGCTACTACAAAAATATCAAAATTTCTTGGTGTGTATGGAGTCTTTCTTTTTGTTGGTGAACCCTCTGGGGATATGCCAAGCAGAGAATGCTTGTTGAATTAATCTGAATCAGATCTGTCCAGTGACTTTAAGACCTTCCCCAAAGCTCTAATTTACCTCTCCAGCCTTATCTCCCCTTCAATACTGCGTGCTCCAGCCAAAACAGGCTACTCTCTATCTCCTGGGCTTGTCCTACTACCTCTTGTCTCTGCTTTGACTGATGTGGCAGCCCTCCACGTCTGAAATAGATAGCTCCTCATCCTTGCCCCCAAATGCCCAAATCTCTGCTAAAGCTCCTTCCTTCCAAGCCTACCTTACAGGTCACCTCCTTTATGAAGCCATCTCTAACACCCCCAGGGGAAAGCAATACCTCCCTCCCCCCTTCAAATTTCTCACAGTGTAGTCCTATATCCCTCCTTTGTACTTAGCTCAGACTCTTAAAGAGGATATAAAAGAAAATCTTAAGAACTGATGGACTCTGAATACAGATCAAGGCATACCATTTTTTACTTTATTTTTTTTTACCTGTATTTTCTTTCACAACATGACTAATATGGAAATGTTTTGCATGACTGCACATGTATAACCTATATCAAATTGCTTGTTATCTCAGGGAGGAGAGAGAGAATTTGGAACTCAAAATTTGAAAAATGAACGTTAAAAACTTTTCACATATAATTGGAAAAAATAAAATATTAGAAAAATCTCATCTTACTCTCCTGTATTGTAGTTATTTGTTCACATTTCCTTTCCCCATTAGATAGCAGGCTGTATGAAATAAGTGACTGCATGAGCAAAGGGACTGCATTATACTCGTCTTTCTACTCTTAGGGTAGGGGTGGGGAACCTGTAGACCCGAGGCCACGTGTGGCCCTCTAGGTGCGCAAATGTGGCCCAAAGACTTCAATCAAAGGACCGAACTTGAGAACCTAGAGGGCCACATGTGGCCTTGAGGCTGAAGGTTCCCCAGCCCATCTTAGGGTATAGCACAATGGCTTGCACATAGTAGGTGCTTAAAATGTTCATTGAGCTGAACTGATAATGAATGGAATGAGCTGCCTTAGGGATAGTTAATTCGTCCTCACCAGAGGTGTATAATCATTTGACAAGAGATATTTTACTGGGATTTCTGTTCCAGGATGGTTGAACTGCATAGTCTTTGAGGACCTTTCCAATTCTAACAAGCTATGGTTCGGAATAATTAGGGTGAGGTGTTTTGATTTTTAAAAAATATACTATTTTTTCTGCAAAGGTGTAAAGTGAATCTACAAGAGTTTTCACCTTCCTGTAGTATAAAACCTTTTCCATTAAAAATCATATGTGGACTGAATTTATTTCATTAGAATAAGTCAGCAGATAGAGGAATCAAAGTGTGAGTGGGTTTTCCATATGTGAATGTTCTCTGAGAAGCCAGTTTGAACTGGGAGTAAGAGTTCTGTGCCAGCCAGGAAAGAGGGTGACACAGAAGGGCTGGGGTATGGGCAGGTGAGACAATTGTAAATAACCTCTAGATTTTTTTTTTTAGATAAATGTTGGGATCAGAAAACATGAGATAAAGTGAAAGCATGCTGAGAGATGACAGATAAAGAAGTCAGGGGAGTCTAACTCAAGGAATCCAACTATAGGCTGAGAAGCCAGGAAAGAGTCTCCTTTAGGAATATTCTGAGAGCCGAAGTCCAAGCTTCTCAGTCTTGCATTTAGGGTCTTCCATGATCTGGTCATAAATCAATTTTCCAGCCTTATATTCCACTAATTCAGAAACCCGACTTAAATTTCGTGCTCTTCTGAAGTTTTTCATAATTTACCCCAGCCAGAAAAAACAAGACTCCATTCATCCCCTGAATCTTCGCATAACATTTCTTGTGCCACCTTAGGGACCTTATTACATCATGCCTTGTATTATAATGATGTGTGCATACCCTATCCACCTTGACAATGCTGTAAACCTCCTTGAGGGTTGTGATTATTATATTTGCTATTTTTGTCTCTCCCCAGAGTTTAGCATCAGATCTTGCACGTGGCAGATGGTCAATAGACATTTGTTGAATGAATGAATGAATGAATGGATAGAGTCCAAGAAAATGACTGAGTGGCTTTGGAGACTTAGGTATGTGGCTGTATACTCAGCAGAAAGGGTAACCAAGGGAGCTGAGAAAAAGAGAAGTTGGCCTCAGATGTAGACATGAGGTTGTACCAGGAAGTGGTGGGGGGGGGGGTGGAGGGCAACATGATTTAGAGGAAAGAATATCAGAGTAGGATATCTGCCAAGTCTGAGGCCTGATGTGGATGGACTATGTGACTTTGGGGGTGGGGGTGGCCCTCAGTTTCCTTATCTGAAAAATGAGTTCCAAAAGTTTTAATATTCTGTGTTCTTCCAGCTCTGACCTTCTGATATTCAACGTTCTCAGGCCCCTTCTAGCTCTGATATTACTTTGTTGAAAAGCTACACAATTCGGTGGGCAGAATGCTGGACTTGGTAGTTGGGTTTGACTCCCCTCTGACCCAGACTAGCTGCTGGATCTGAGAGATTTCTTAATTTCATAACCAGTAAAATATGGACACTATTATATCTCTAGTACCACTTAAGAGGGTTATTGGGTGGTTCAAATGAGAAAAATAAATATACAGTGTTATGTAATAAAAATACATACACATACATAT